AGAACTTTTAAGATTTACCTTCTTAGGAACTTTCAAGTGGATGATACAGAATTGTTAATAGTAGTCACCATGCTGTACATCAGATCCCCATAACTTACTCATTTTATAGCTGGAAGTTTGTACCTTTTGAGCAGTATTGTGCCCTCCAGCCCCTGGCAACCACTATTGTACTCTCTTTCTCCAAAAAGTGAGTTTGGCTTTTTTAGATTCCACATGTAAGTGATATTACATAGTATATCTTTCTCTGTCTTATTTCATTTAGTATAATGCCCTCACAGACCATCCATGTTGTCACAAATGGCAGGACTTCCTTTTTTCTCATGGCTGAATAATATTCATATATATATATATATAGACAGAATTTCTTTATTCATTCATCCACCTGTGGACGCTTAGGTTTCGTCCGTGTCTCAGCATTATGATTAATGCTGCAGTGAACATGGCAGTGCAGGTATCTCTTTGAGATCCTGATTTCATTTTTTTGAGCTGTATACCAAGAAGTGGTATTACTAGATCATATAGTAGTTCTGTTTCATTTATTGTTGTTGCAGGGTCGGGGGGGATACAAATGAAGGACGTCTTGTTTGGTCATCTTGTTTATGTTGCTTCTCCATATCTATATTTGGACAAGCACCAGTTCAGATGCAAATCAACTGGGGAGTCTTGTAGGGAGCCCTTGTAGAGCACAGAAGCATTCAGGCCATGTATTATAAAAAAAAATGGTCAGACTTTAGTCATTTTGCAAAATTTTAGGGTACTTAATTTTCTTGTTTTTGATAATTAGAAATGTCTTATATTTTTCAGTCACCTAAAAAGTGTTTTATATTTATATTTCTGGATATTGTTAAAAAAACAAATTAAAAATACAGTAACAAATGATAGCAAGAAAGAAGTGAGTTACTGTACAAACTCTGAGATCCCTGAGTTGGAGTTAATTTTTAATTTTTATGCGTGCAAATTTTTTTTAAGTATGTTGAATTTTGTTTTCAGTTGTGTTTAAACTTTTGAGGATCATTATTCTTTAGTTTGTAACAATCTGATGGTTACTTTGCATGCAGGAAAATGTACATATGCACACGCACACTTACTTTGTATCCAATCATAGCAGAACCTTGGGGAAAAACCACGCTTGAGAGCAGCAATTGTGCCATTGTTTCTGTACCGCCTACCACCTACTTCAGTTAGGAGCTTCATGAGCCAACTCTCTTTAAGGTAAGTGTACTTTGTCCCAAATACAAGCAAAATGGAAATCAGTGACTTATTTTGGTGAGCATCTATTATCTCAAATCCTAACAGGAATCTAGGAGATAAGCAGGGCAGACAAAGGATGGTTGTGTCTTGCTGGATAACATTCAGTGGTAGATTCTGGATTCTAACCTAAACCTCTTGATTTCCAGTCCTGCAATTTTATATATCACCACATCACACTCTAAATATTTCCATCCAGGACACACATGGATTGTTATACCAACTGTCAGGAGCCCAGGCTGCTGCTGTCATATTTTTTGCTTCGGTTCTCAAGAGCATTTTATGATTGAATATGGTTGCCTAGCACCAGTCATTGCAATTTATTCCAGCCAAAAAGAAAAAGAGAGGAATGGAAGAGAAGGACCAAAGTGTGTTTGCCAGAGGTCTTTGAGTTTAGCTTTCTCGATTTTCCCATGTGATGTTTCTCTCTTGCAACCCACCGGCCAGAACAATCTAAGAGACACCTCTATTTAAATGGTTGGAATTGGCCTTTATTTGAGTGACCATGTGCCTGGTTCAAAATTAGGAGACCCATTACTAGGGAAGAGGGGAGAATAGATTTTGGGGAAAAGCTAATAGTTTCTAAGGTCAGGCACAGTTTCTGGACTCCATTGCTTCTTTTTATTTATTTATTTATTTAAGTATACTTGATATACAATTTTATATTGATTTCTAGTATACAACACAGTGGTTCCACAATTACTCATATTATTAAATCCTCACCCACCAGTGCAGTTACACAGGAAGATGTTACAGAATCATTGGCTATATTCTCCATGCTGTACTACCCTCCCCATGACCAACTATACTATAACTGAGAGTTTTTGTGCCCCTTTTTCCCCCTTTCCCTCTCCACCACCCACCCCAATCCCTCCCTGATGGTAACCACCAGTCACTTCTCAGCATCTATGAGTCTACTGCTGTTTTGTTTTTAGATTCCACAAATAAGTGAAATCATGTGGTATTTGTCTTTCTCTGCCTGGCTTTTTTCACTCAGCATAATACCCTCTAGATCCATGTTCTTGCAAATGGCAGGATTTCTTTTCTTTTTAGGGCTGAATAACATTGTGTATATGTACCACATCTTCTTTATCTATTCATCTACTGATGGACACTTAGGTTGCTTCCATATCTTGACTATTGTAAATAATGCAGCAATAAACATAGGGGTGCATATATCTTTTCAAATCAGGAATTTTGTTTCCTTTGGGAAAATTTCTGAAAGTGGAATTACTGGATAGTATGGTATTTCTATTTCTTAGTTTTTTGAGGGACCTCCATACTGCTTTCCATATTAGCAGCACCAATTGCATTCCCACCAACAGTGTAGGAGGGTTCCCTTTTTCCACATACTGCCCAACACGTGTTATTTCTTGTCTTTTGGTTGGTGGCCATTCTAAGTGGTGTGAGGTGATTCCATTGCTTCTTATAGATGCTCAAATAAATGAGTGTCTTACTGAGATTGCTTACTGCTGCTGCTTTTTTATTATTTGTATCCTGGGAGATCATGATCAATTTAATACTACCTTATTTCATTGCAGATTTTTGGAGCCAATGCATATTCTCTTTTAGGAAAACTCCTTTTTATATTTTCTATATTAAAAGTAAAAGGTTAGTTTATAGTACTGAGAACCACATGGTGGAATCAAAAAGAATTCTTTGTCTTTGATCTTTCCCATGTCTAGGAAAGCCTAATATCCATTCATTTGGAATGACCAAAATAATGTAAACACTTTTACAAGAACAAGTTGATAGGGAAGAGCCTGAGAACAGAGAGAATTTGTGTATTCTCAGTAATCTGTGGCAAGTTTCGCTGGAAATTACTCACTTATTTTTGTCATTCAAAGAAAATCAGGGATAGATAATTGTCTTAAATGAGAACCAGAAACTCTTGTCAAAAGCCAAATGTTTACTTAGCCAATGAGCACTTACATAGTTATAGGAATGTATACAATATGTTGGATATGGGACAGTACTGCTGACATGACATTTTATAATCAGCTTGGAGTCATAATGCCCACTGGAAACTCATTTATTTGCATTAGTAAAAAATATTCAGTAAGATGTTTCATCTTCTTAGATATTGGAGACTTGTGTCTCAGTCTAGACCATTGCCATGAAAAAATAAAATTTCAAAATATGAAACAGTATTCCTTGAGTGAATTTGGTGCTAAGAAACCTCAAAAGGGAATGATGACTTAGGTTTTTTGTGAGTTGTACTGTCAAGAACTTTGTAAGAGACAGTATAAGCTATAACTTGGGTACAAAGCCTTTTCTGACAAATGAGAAATGACAAGGGGAGGCTCACAGCACCGACTATGCAAACATTCCCATAAATAAAATGAAATTTTAGTTTTTAAATTTTAATGTAGATATTTTTCTTCACATATTTATTTTTGCAGATCATAAGTCAAAGAAGTAAAATATCCTGGGATGTCATGCAAAAGCTATTCAGTTAAGATAAAGAACGGTCTTGTTAGGATTTTTTATTTTTAGCCATTGAAATGATTTTTCTCTGATTAAGGAAAGAATCATTAAACCCCATACAGCTCAAATAAAATGGTATGTAGAACTTTTGTGTTTTTTTATAATCTGAATAGTGGATGAACACAGATGATATTCAACAGTTGGTATTATCTCTGTCACCTACAGCTAAAGACTCAGTGGAATTAGAAATATTTATGTAAATTTGAAGGTTAGAATTTCTTTCAGTCCTTAGTTGAGTAACAAGTGTGCATAAGTATATAATTCCATATGGCATATTTAATGGAACAAATTTGCATTTCTGTGTTCTGAGCTGGTTTTGAATGCTGAATGTTTAGATATAGACATTATATTTCTTCTAAGGGACAATTTAACCTTATAACCACAGTTTTGTCTTTTACTTTATTGACTCTGTCACCTTTCCCTCTACCTGTAAAGAAATTTTGTTTGATTGGTTTCCTTTAGACAATTTGCATGGGAAACTTTTACCTTTCTCCTTACTTGTCAGAAACACCATTATTTTGTAGATATGATGGCACTCTTTCTTTTGTGGGCCCGTAAAGGATTCAGGAGGAACGTCCCAGGTTTTTTGTTGACTTGGTTTCTCAGAATCTTTCAGGATCCTTAAAAATTTTGTCCAGAATATTCTGAGAAGTAGTTTGTAGGAAATCAAGGAAGTCTTTACTTGTCCCTCAAGTTCTGGTCAATCATCTGGGTTTTGGATTTCTAGAATGTATAGACACCAATGTAAAGGAAGAAAGAGATTATGCATGGTAAGGAGGATGGCATTTTGTACTTCAAATGATGAAGTGTTGGAGAAAGGTATTTTGTAACACTATCTTAAACAACAGAATTATAGACTATAAAAGCAATAAATTCTTCTGATTGTCCTTGGTCAAGGGATGTTGTGGCAGGTGGTTTCCTCTGATTGTGATAGGTTAGATTAAACTCTTTTGAATTTAATGTACATTATGTTGATGGGAACTGGATTTGTTGTTTAAAGCACGGAGATTCGTCTCTATATGAACCACTTTATTTCCTGCTAGGACATCCTTTTGCTATTGTGAAGATATAAACAATGTCTAGTTTTATTAAAAAAATATATATGTAAGCAAAATGTTTTTGAAAACTGAAGATATACTTTCTTATTCATAGGCTGTATAAAAACCATTAATACTTGGTTATTAATGCTTCTAGAGAAATGTAGAGAATATAGTTTGTCAAAAACAGAAGAATGTGTTTTATTTTTATTATATGAGCACATGGAAAGATCAAGCCACATGGATAATCTGATTCTGCAGAAACTAAGGGTTCTCATTTCTTTTCTGTGATCCTCTGTGTATCACCTGTCAAAGTACTTGAAGTAATACTTTGTGCTGGGTTCAAACTTGGAACAGAGAAAGGTAGTTAAAAGGTTTCACTTCATGCTGTTTGTTAAGGTGCAACTGACAGTAAATAAAAGCAAAAAGATATACTATTGGGCTTAAGTGAGCAAGAGAGGGTCCCAGTCAGGTGATGTGGAAACTACATCTAGGGATAGCTGAAGACTAACTTTCTGGTGAAAGACACAAAGAAGGATTAACCGGCTTATTCCAAACTGAGGGCAGTTCTTTAGGAAGTATGCCTGAGGATGTACTTGGCAATAAATTGGACAGCTAGCATGGTTTCTTTGCAGGTTGACTTTATCCGAGATTCTGGAAGGAGAAAACCAAATTTGCCTTTATCTCGGAGCTCAAAGGCAAATGTGTGTTTGATGCCCAGGTTGTAAGCCCAGTCTAAAGAAGAACCTGATGTCGGGTCTGTAAAACATAAGCAGTAAATATTTAATTAGAAACAAATGCTGATGTTTTTCTTGAAACAGAAATTCACTGGTGTAAAATTAGCAATAAAAAATAATTATGTGTACAGTTAATTGCAGTAATGAATGGGAGTAGTGGTCTGTATAGTATAGAGTGTTGAGTAAAAAATAATTGTGGCTTTGAAGTCCACCACACATTTTAATATGCGCTGCATTTTCAAAATTACATTTTGCTTTGGTCAATACTCTAAACTGAGTTTGTTTCCAGGACACACATTCTCACAGATGGATGTAGTTTGAGCAAGTGCAAGCAAGATAGGGAAACCAGCTGAGGAGGGTTCATGGGTCACTGAAAACCCACCAAGGAAAGCTATGTATACAAGCTTTGCAACATTACCTTCTTTGTAACAGTTTAGATCTCTTGCTATTCATGTGACTAGGGTAAATTATTTTATAGTGAAAAGGTCAAGGAAACTTAAAAACTATTTTAAAGATGTATTTAATTCCCTAATCCAACTTTTCCATGTTAATTTTTAAGAAATTTTATTAAGAATGTGATTATTTGGTAAAGATTGAAAATACGAACACATCTGGAGGCTATATACGTATAAGATTTATACAAGTGCATGTAAATACTATGAATTATTTATGTATTTTTTGCTTTACATAATAGAAACCCTTTTTATTTTTGTATAGGAAATCATTTATGTTCTCGGACAAGTAGTGAGTTTAATCAATATTAACATTTACAGTTTGAAAGATAAGAATTCAAAGTTGTGATGAAGAGAAAGAAGGAATATTTTGGTGGAAAGAGAGGGTTGGCTCTTACATTATTCAAATATTAGTAAGCCTTTAATATGCACAGTGCACTTTACTTGGCCCTGTGGAGGGTGGGTGGTGCAAAGATGAAGATGCTATTGGTATCTTTGGGAATTTACAATTTAGAGAGAGAAGTCAAAGATCCAAATCAATAGAGACAGGGCAGATTTTGTAAGCAATATAGGAAAGTTACAATATCTTATGAAGGTTTAAAGGAAAAAAGAGATCATGCTTGGTAAGGAGGATGGCATTTTGTGCTCAACACCTGCTCAGACACCACCCTCATGATGGAGGTGGTATTTGAGGAGGGCCTTAAAGAGAGTCTGCTATTTTTCCAGTAGAATGGGTGAAAGGCATTCTGGCAGATGAACTACAAAGTTGGAAAAACATGAAGGTGTTTTTAGGGATCGGTGAGATCCACCTGGACTGGAGGAGATGGAGCAGTGAGAGTTTGTGGGCAAAGCTCAGAAAGATCTGATAAACCAGCACAAAGTGTTGTTTGGGAGGCAGTAATAGCCATTTTGTGCTCTATTTAGGATATTTAATATGGACTGGTAAGAGTAGAGATCAGTTTGGAAGTATTGGGAAATGAAAGCCTGAGCTAGTGTAGAGTCACCACACTAGGAATGGAATTGAGGGCTCTATGTAAGAAACATTGGAATGGAAGAGCCACAGAATTTGGTAAAAATGATTGTGATTTCAATCTGGATGGCTGAAAAAAATCTGCATAGTATTAACAGAAACAGGAACTCAGAGGGTAATGATGGGGAAAAGAAAGGGTAAGGGAGGAAGATAAAAGAGTATGTTAAGCATCGATGACACATTCAGGAAGGAGCCAGGGAAAATGAATTTTGAAATTACTGGCAGAAATGTCATAGGTGAAATTGGCTTGCACACATTCAGGGCCATTGTGTCTTCTTGGTGGATTGATCCTTTTGTCATTATTAATGTCCCCTTTTGGTTTCTAGCAAATTTCTTTGCTCTGAAATTTACTTTATTTGATATTTAATATGGCCACTCCTCCTTCAGTTAATAATGTTTTGCATGGTACATATTTTTCTAGCCTTTCTATTTCAACTTGTTATATTTGAAGTGAATTTCTTGTAGGCAGTGTATTGGATCATATTTTTAAAATCCACTCTGCTGACTTCTGTCTTTTTAAAAATTTAGGTAAATTGTTGGTGAGACTTAAATCTTCCATCTAATCATTTGATTTTTATTTGCTCCCTCTGTTTTTCATTCCTCTATTTACCTTTTATTGCTTTCTTCTGGTAACAAGAACATTTTTAGGATTCCATTTTGATTTATTTATAATAATGTTTTTGATATATTTGTACAGTTTTCTTAGTGGTTGTACCATGGGTGAAAGGTGATTCCCTAGCTGAGCCACCTGGTGTGGTGCCTCAGTAGGTGGGAAATGTGGGCTCCAGCTTGTGAGGTTAGAGTGCACTTCCCTGATGAGTGAAGAAGCAGAAGGAAGAGGAGGGGCTGAAGAGAGAACCTTATATTTGTTTATTGTACCTATTTAAAAAAAATGTCTACATTTAGAGGCAGTCAGCAGAGACAGAGCAGAAAAAGAGGAGGAGGCAAGCCAGGCGAGTGCACAGTCAAGGAAGCCAGAGGAAGGGCGAGAAGGGATATCAGCAGGGTCCAGTGCTGCAGGGAGCCTGCGGAGCATGTGGGCTGAGATAACTGCGCTGGATTTAGTGATCAAGAAGGCTGCCATTTTTAGCTAGAGTTGAGTTTACGTTCATTACATGAAAAGCACATGAAGTTAAGAGTTCAGTAGCAATGGAGGCAGGGTAAATAGGAATTGAATGTTGCATGATGATTGAGAGTGTACTAGATATTTTCATAAACTTGGCCAATTACTAGCTGTACTAGCTCTCCATTTGCAGCTCAGTAAACTGTTGTGGTTTCAAAAAGTTAGAATATAGCTATTCCATATTGACAAATTTTCTTAATGTGAAATTTTTCATTAATAGTGGTCATTAAGAATATATGTAATTTGTGATTTTCCATAATTGTGTGATATTACTGAGTGTAATACATTTTATTTTATGATAGCACTTTTTGTATCTTTGAAACCTTAAATTTTCAAACAAAAACTATGTTAAGGCATAAAATAAATGCAACATTGGAAACTTTTTACTTGTAAGAATATATTATTATAGGACTTAAAATTTGTTGAACTTAGCCTTTTATTTGTCTACATCTGTACCCACTAAAATATGTCTACATATTCATAAAAATATAATATCACTTGTGAAATCCAGGTATTCTTCTAACTGCTTTATATATGTTAATTTATTTAATTAATTCCTATCATAATACTATGATTTATGTATTAATTGCTGAAGTAGAAATTTTGGCACAGAGAGATTAAGCAGTTTGCTCAAAGACAAATAACTAGTAAGTGGATGAGTCAGGAATCAAACTCAAGCTGCATATCTTCAGAGTGTGTTATTAACTGTTGTACTGTATTACCTACCTTACACCATCTATAGTCCTCCCAATAAGTCTTGAGTTCTACAAGATGATTTTTTTTGATATTTTCTTTGCATATTGACATTTTAAAAAATTTCCTACTCAAGGCATATTAGGTGTAAGGAATGTACTGTAACACAATCAAACCAAGTCAAGATAAAACTGAACTAAACTAGGAATCTGGTTTTAGCCCAAGAAATCCAAATAAAGTAATGCTGGTGACTTAATGTGTGTGTGTGTTTAAAAGCTATTATTAACATGCATTAAACATAATAACCTGCACTTTTACATCAGTACTAAGTGAAAATTCCATTTAAAACAAGAACTGAAGCCACAGACACAAGGACATGAAATGAAATATTTTCTCTGCACTTCTGCTGCCCCTTAACATAATCTCAGTTTGAATGTCTCTTAGTAGAGATCGGGTGTTGTGAGCTACAAATCTGGAGTCTTGATTTTCTCTTTTTCAAAATGTAGGATAGTAGAGTATGGAAAACAGTACTGGGTTGAGAAATAGGCAGATCTTGCAATGTTGTTAAAAAATCATCTTGTAGAACTCAAGACTTATTGGGAGGACTATAGATGGTGTAAGGTAGGTAATACAGTACAACAGTTAATAACACACTCTGAAGATATGCAACTTGAGTTTGATTTCCTGATTCATCCACTTACTAGGCAACAAGAAAGACACTTTGAAATTAACTTTTTAACTCATGATGTGACGCATCATGCTATTAACGATGCAAGCTGCCTAGTTCCTATCAATTCAATGAACTGTTCTTGCTAACTAGGTACTATATTCAGTTGTTTCTAAAATGGTAAAGGAATGGATATGCCATCAATATTTCACAATCATTTAACATAAATTTTTGTGCCATCTAAACATTGCTGCTTTGTTGCAAAGCAGCTATACACCATTTGGCTCTGGCCTGGAATTCTGAGTTTTGTTCCTATTCTGACCCAAGTGATAAAATCTTTTTGTATCTCAATTTTACAGTTTAAAAATGAGGGGTTATGCTTAGCTCAGTGCTTCTCATGCTTCTCAACCTGTTTCATTTTAGAATCACTTTCAGTACTTTAAAAAATGAGAATTCTTGGGTCCCATCACAGAATAATGAAACCAGACTGGGGGTTGGGCTTGATCATCATCCTATTTTAAGAGCTTCTCAGACAATTCTCATGGAAAGTTAGACTTGAGAACCGTGAATTAGATCATTTGCTGTTTCCTTCTGGTTTCAAATTTTATAATTTTAACTTATTTGCTGTATTTGCTTGTTAGTCTCAAATTGTACACATATTTCTTTTTTTTGACTGGAGGTTAGAGATGTCTTCACAATTTGGGTTTAAAATGCTCTCTCAGTCCTTTTCTTTTGTCTCTGTCAAATCAAAGAGAGAAAAATACTGGCAAATGCTAGATGCTTTCCCCAAATCCTGGGACCTGTTAAGTGACAATCAGGATATTGGAAAGGCTCAAATTTAATCATGGGATGGCCTTATTGTCTAGTCTTACCAAGTCAACCACTTTGCTACCCACTGCTTCTCATGAATGTTTGATTAACATTCAAATCAGATGTTTTATTAAAGCAGTCACTCCTAAAAATTTTGAACATCTATCAAGCTGCTGCAACCCTGTATAGAGGAGGCAATTCTTTCTAAATGTGAATTCCTTAAAAAAAACTGGTAATATAATAAGGAAATTTTAAAATACTGCTACATGGCTGTTACGAATAGTAATTCCTTTTCACCCTATCCTCCCATTTTGAAAGTGACATAGTCACTTCCTGATGGAGCTATGGTATCTTTGGTTATCTGTTCCTCTAAGTTATAGTGTAACTCCTTGAGAGCATTTAGTTTGTTGTAACCCTTTTAACTTACCTCTCAAAGCTCCAAATTAAGTAGGCACTCCATGATTTCTTGCTTATTAAATGATTGTGGTACAATGCCGTTCATAGCTGTAATGTGCTCATAATTTGCATATATAATATATATATATATATATATATATTA